TCTACCACTGTTAAGTTCCAGTCTAGGGTAATAACACTGCTTGATTGCTATGAAATCCTATTTCTAATGCACGTCTACCACTGTAAAGTTACAGTCTAGGGTAATAATACTGCTTATTTGCTATGAAATCGTATTTGTAATGCACGTCTACCATTGTTAAGTTCCAGTATAGGGTAATAACACTGCTTGTTTGCTATGAAATCCTATTTCTAATGCACGTCTACCAGTGTTATTACCACATACTGGAACTATACAGTGGTAGACGTGCATTACAAATAGGATTTCAAAGGAAACAAGCAGTATTAATACCCTATACTGGAACTTTACAGTGGTAGAGATGCATCAAAAATAGGATTTCAGAGGAAACAAGCAGTGTTATTACCCTATATTGGAACTTTACAGCCATTAATCAGAATGACAGTAAACTAGCGACTAAAATACTGATAGTAAGTAGTCAGTGCAATAGTGAAATCCAATATAGTTTCAAGATTTTGTCCTTGATTCGAATCTAAAATACTGTTATTACCCTAGACTGGAACTCTATAGCAATTAATCAAAATTACAGTGTAGGTTTGGTTTGTAAATGTCTTACCTTTGAAGCGTTTTCTTGTTGAAATTGTTCTCTGAAATTTTGTCTTGGTTTTGTAGGTGGAGGTCAATGTGTGGTGTTTGTTTTTGAAAGTAGATCAAGCTTGGTGGTGGTTATGGAGTTTCGGTTTCGAGAGATGAAGAAGACACTTTGATGAAGACGGTGACTGAAGGGACGTTTGGCAGAGATGGTTAATTGAAGTCGTAGGCTGGAAGTTACATTTTTGTTTTCCATTATTTTGAACGAAATTATGGTTTTGGAGATGGCAAAATCTTTGGGCTTTTTTATAAGTTTGGGCTGGGGTTGTTTTGGGTGCTTTTTGAGTTTTTTTTTCTGTTGGGCTTGATAGTGGCAGGGCTTGTAATTTATTGGAACTTTAACACTAATTTGTTATTTAATAAATGGGTTTTGGGTGTGTTTATAAAGTGTTTTCCATATGGGGTTTTTTTATAATTTCAACACCCATTTTATGTATATTAGTGAAGCTCCCAATATGCGTTGTTTAAAATTTAATGTAATATCTGCAAATTACACACTTACATACGTATTTTCAGGTGTAATATGCATTTTTTGTGTGCTTATTTTTCAACAATACACATAAATTACAAATTACAAATAAAAATTATTAAAATATTTGCGTATCGTATTTTTTATATAAAAATATAAAATGTATTATTCCAGATCCGTATTTTACTAATTATGGCTGGTTCGATTGAAAATCCATAGAATCGCTGTGTGTATATGGTAGAAATACTAATAAAGAGCAGAGTAAAGAAGCTTCTCAATTTCATCATAAATAATCTATTCCGCTGTTTGAGGCTTTAAGCCTACCATTCTTTAATGTTTCCAAAACCAGAAAACCATTTGCGTGGACTCTCAAGTCTCCGTCTTCCCCAAGCCCTACCTTACCTTCTTCTGATCAGACGATCTTCATCGCTCGCAATCTAATCGCTTATCGACAGCACAACACAAGGTACGCTGCAGCTCTGAATTTTTAACCTTTGCTTGCTTTCCCAATTGAAAACCCTAGAAATTTCTGGGTTTCTACTGCAATTCTTGAAATTTTCTGTGCAAGGTTCAGTAATGTAAATGAATAATCTATTGTTCAGCTAAAACTATGAGTCTGGATCATCGTAAGTGTCAAAGATTGATGCTTTTCTTTTATATTATGTAATGTATGCACATGGGTGCGTTTGGGAGTCTCTCAATTGGGGGCTTCTCAGCTTGAAGGCTACTTAAGTGGGTATTTATTATTGTTCCCACACCATCAACAGAGGTGTGGGAAGAGAAAAGCATGGATTTTGTCTTCTTCCCTGTGCTGTATTTGTCTTATTTATGGCTCTTTTGTTTGGCATCACTCAGTATTTTGCTGACATTTGAAGAGATTGAACTCCAGGAACTCATATACATTGGAGGAGACGCCCTTGGTGATGAAAGTATAGTATTTGTCTTTGCAATTCGTTTCGTGTACTCTTTGGTATTTATTGGAAAAGCATAGAGATGGGTGCTCTTTGCTGCTGTCCTTGTAGTGAGGAATTTGAAGAATATGCTCTTCCAAGCAATTCAGTATATAGGCATTGCACATGCCTAAGATACTTCTTCCATCAGTTATTCAGTGGGTATAGCGCACCGTTTCAACGGCTTGATGGACGGCCACCTTCATCACCTCTCCCAGGAGCTACTTTGGTATCATCCGGAGTAGGCACAACACTCCCAAATAATTCCTTGAATGATACTCAGCTCTCAGTGTCCAGGCCATCACCCTTTGATGCTGATCAAAGATACTCGCGTTTGCAGCGTGATGGATTGGTCTCTAGGCGCGATAAGTCAATGACTCATTTGCAAGAAGATGCGCAACAGCTGAGAAGAGGCAGTTCTGGCACAGAGTCCCTGGGTTTTGGGAAGAAATGGAATGGAGATGATAATGAAGAAGATTGTAAGTTTGGCCAATCTGAGACCTCGGAAAAGGCTTTGGCAACAAAACTGGCATATGGACTAACTTTTGTGCAACCCTCATCTGAAGATGAAGATGTTTGCCCTACATGCCTGGATGGTAATCTAAATATGCAAATGTCATAGGATAGCTAATAAGTAATAACCAATGGGCATTGCTAGTATAAGGTTTAAGTTATCATTGTGCAGTCGTAATATATGCTGATGCAGCAAAATATAAAGAGCGTCTTGCTTGAATGGTTCTTTCCTATGTTGATAATAGTTAATTTATTTCCTTGCAGAATACACTACAGAAAATCCTAAAATCACAACAAGATGTTCTCACCATTTTCACCTTGGCTGTATTTATGAATGGTTGGAAAGAAGCGAGAGCTGTCCAATTTGTGGCAAGGTAAGCTGGACTGTGAAATGTAGTATAGATCAATTATATCTCTTATGAACTGTGCGCCCATTGCATTTTGCGCGGTTGTTTTGCAGCAGTTCTTACATTATCTAAATTAAGAGTATACTTCCTGAGTAATTCATACTTTGACTGTTAAATTTCTGGATTGTCAGGAAATGGAGTTCTGTGAAAGCCCTTAACTTTTCTCTCTGATTTCAAAGCAATAGAGCAAATATGTATGGAGCGGCTATGAGTTTCTGTAAATAAAAGTTGTCATGTTTATAAAGGGTTGCATAGAGGGAAGCAATTGTTCATTTTGTGTCATTAGTTTGTAATACTTGTGGTGTTTCTCCATGCTTCATGGTTGGTTATCTTACTTGTTGTATAGAACCCCCACAGATCTGTGTGGAACCATATTAAGTGATTGTAACATAATTGTTATGAAAACATCTGAAGGGCTCACGCCATCCATTTCTTTCCTGCTTGTACTGCTTGTGATGGAAAGTTCTCAAGCCTTCACCAATTAATAAATCTTTCTACCATGGAAAAGCAATCAAGGCAATTTCTGTATTGCCTGCAGTTCTTATGACTTTGACATTGATTTTACATGAAAAAAAGAGGTGCAAGAGTTATTTCACCCTTTATTTTCCCACAGCCGTTTGTCTCAGATCTGTTCTGTTGATTTTGATAGTATCATTGACATTGCAAGCTATGTTTGTGATCCTTTCGGTATAGTTATCCTTTTGGTCTGCACAAGCTCCAAGTATGGCATTTGAGCACAAACATAACATGTGGTTACAGATAGATTGTCTAGCTGATCAAAGTTTTAGGTACCAGTGGCCCTGCCAATTTAATGATACTTTCCCATAATCAAGTAGCCGTCCTATAAATCTGGTAGGCAATGGTAGGTTTTTCGTTTCTTTTTTTTATTTTTTATTTATAATGCACACCAAATTTTAGCTGTAATTCTATACTAAAAAAGGTGGGTGGACAGCAGTGAATTGAATGAGATTAGTCCATTGGACCAACCAATCTTTAAGGGGTATCGGTTCATCCCCCTACCCTTACTCCTATGCACTTCAAATTGAATATTCTGTTAAAAAACAAGTAACCTTTCGGTGACATAGTGACGATTAAATGCAACTACAACTTGTTGCCAAATAACCAACCTTTGATGCTAAACACAAACTGTAATTCCTGCTTTGCTTATTGTAAATCTGAGTTTTGTTCAAACAAGTAGCAAAATTAAAAGTTGGGAATATAGTGGGAAAACGACATTTCATCCAATTAATGCTATCTATCCACTGAGGGGTTGTTCTTTTATGTTGGCTAGAACCTGCTTCTCCGTCTTAACCCCCTGCTCTGTCCTGTACTTGTACCTACGTGCGCAATATAGAAAAACGCAGAAATTGATGACACTCAAAACTGTGAGCAGCCAGTAAAAATAATCAAATCTGCCAGTGTTAATGTTCTGGGACAGCCAAGATGGCTTCTCTGAGCTTCCTGTGACAGATTTGATGATGCTGTTCAATATACTGGCTGCGAAGCAACCTAAACCCCCGGCTAGAGCAGCGTAAGCGGAGCCTATACTTTTCATGGCATCTGGGGCTTCTTCATATAGAAATTCTAGCAACCCCACTACGCAAAACACTTCAGCTATGCCAATGAGGCAATATTGGATCAACAACCAGAATGCACTGAGGTCTGACATTGCACTTAAGAAACTACCCTCATATCCATGCTCTATTGCATATTTTCTTCGGTACCTTTCGAAAATCGCAGCCCATGCCACAGATAGGATTGAGACTGCCAAGCCTATGCCCACTCTCTGAAGCTGAGAAGCTCCATGAGGGTGACCGGTGATGCGCCGGGACAGCGGAACAAATGTAGAGTAATAGAGGGACAGTATAAGAAATATGCTGAGGCCAGGAAACACTGGCATGCATGTTACTGGGAGTTTAAGTTGACCCATATGGGTGTTTAAAGTGTACGCCTGCTGGACTGAGAGAGTCAGATACTCTGTCAAGACTACACTCAGCATTATTGTGCAAGCTGGTATTGGAATAAGTTTCAAAAGGATCTTCACTTCCTCTACTTGAGTCACAGTGCAAAGCCTCCAAGGACTTGGGTCTACACCATCCTCCTTCAACTGCAGAGCTGCTTTGTCCAAACATCTGCAACACAGAAAACATCAGATGTTATACAACAGAAGAGACGGAACATAATAATAAGTTTTGCTTTGAAAAGCCGAAAGTAGGATTTAGTGTGGAACAAACAAGGAATTAAAATGATCTCACATATGTAACTCAGAAAGAGCAGTAAAAAGTAAACGAAAAGATACCTAAAATCGTTGGTGTGAGCTATCTTTCCACTGCCCTTTATAGCAGATTGTTTTCCAGGAACCTCATACAAGCCTATCAACTCACTGCTAGAAAAAGGCGCGTTCCTCTTCCTGTATGCAGCCACCAAAACTTGAGCAACGCGCGTTAGAGGGCTGCCTCCTGGAAGTCTATGCCTGTATAGAGGGGTACCAATAAAGAATACCAAGTTTGATATGCCCATAGCTAATGCCAGTGACCCAAAGGCAAATCCCCAACCAAGTTTGATTTGGATATAGACTACCGCAGTAAAGGCCACAATTGCCCCAATGGTGACAGAAAGGTAAAAGAAGTTGAAAAACCTATCCAGGTGAGACTTATAATCTTTACTTCTTTCATCAAACTGGTCTGCCCCAAAAGAAGAAACGCATGGCCTTATACCAGCAGCTCCAAATCCAGTTATGTAGAGAACAGTGTAGAGGTACATCATCTGCCATGGTTTTGCAGGCTCACACTCGCCCAAAAGGAGGGCCAGCTGATCACAATGGTCTTGTTTTGGCGCCAAAATGTCCATTGTAGCACATAAGGTTATTCCTGTCAAGCCCTCCATGAAAACAAATAGAGAAAGAAAAATGTGGAAATTATCAGCTCACTATTGAGTTTAATTGAAGACAACATAGCAAGACCAGTATATAGAACTCTGTAGCTTCAGCATATGATTGGAAAATTAATTAACTTGTTAACATTTCGTATGTTCATATATGGCTACCTACCGCAAGGTAGATGGTTGTGAAGATTGCTATTGTCCGATATCGGCCAAGATATGCATCAGCCAGAAACCCACCAAGGACAGAGGAAGCTTGTGATATCCCAAGGAAATTGTTAACCGCATTTGATGAACTGCTGAAGGGCCTATGCATAACATAGAACATGAAGGCCACCATGTTCACTGAGAGACCGAAATAAGCCATTCTCTCTGCCATTTCATTTCCTGGACAAATTAAAAGTACTTTGATTGAGATCAATGCATCTATTGGACTAAGCTGAAAGAGGATATTGATTTCTTTTCCTCAACTTTGGAAGCAACCAAATTAAGAACTATACAGCAAAATATGAAAATTACGCTTATTTACCGAATATGAAGAAGGCAGCAATCCAACCACCCGTTTTTGAAAGATCAGCAATAGGTTTGCCATGGATATTAACTGGTGTAGTTCCTCCAGTATAACCCCGTCCGAAAGCCGTCCGTCTGTCATCGGATTCAATGAAGTAAAGTCCAAGCTTCTTTCTGTGATTTGAGTCAGGATTTCCATCTAAACTAGCTGGTGTCACTAGCCCTCCTTCAGGTGACTTGATTTCTCTGGTTCCCATTTTCTAACTCCCTGCACAACCACAATATTTTTATGGTATATGCTTTATATACAATGAGTATCAAAACTCAAAAGTAGGTTTACACAACAACAAAAAAATGAAGAGTTTCTTGTGAACCATAAACAAAGATGAAATCATGAAACTCTAGAGCTTAGAACAAAGCAATTTCTTCACACCTAAATACTATAATCCTCCACTTTGAGAAGCAAGCAATCTATGGTAACTTGAAAATACAGAGTTTTGGGAACACTCTGAAATCTTTTCCATTTTCTAATGGAGTGGATTACAGAGAGGGGACAGAACATGTGAATATGTGAAGCATGGTCTCCAAACCCTTTGAAACTAATCATTAATTCAACTCACAAACAAATGAAACGACAAAGAACAAACAAAGTACTACTAAAAAAGAATCATATACGGCTGATTCATAGTCATACAGAGGGCATGTTATGCATGATCTCTGAACTGTTGAGCTTGCAAAGTCCTACATATTTCATGAACAACCAATTTAAAAACAGAAAAGAACACACCCCCCACATGCTCATAAGAATCATACCCTGATTTTAATTCCCACCCTTAAAGCTAAACCCTTATGCACACATGAGGAACTGTCTGAAAGATTGAAGCTTGAAACTGTGTAGATAGAAAGAATTAATCTTGTAGGTTTGCGAGTGATATGATTTTTAGACCAAAAAGGGCAGCGTCAATAATAAAGGAGATCCAACCAACACGTGAAGATCTATAGAAATGGATCCAAAGGCAATAAATGGTACTAAAAAAATTTGAAATAAAAATACAGAGGGGGTAGGGGAGAGGGAGAGAGAGAGAGAGAGATTAGGGGGATGCATTTAATGGCCGACTGTGTTGGAGGTTGTGTGTGAAACAGCCACACTGCAATTGCTGCTGAATGAGAGGCCGTACAGCTTCATTTTCTCCATATCATTTAAACCAAACTAGCCCAGTTAGCTTGGTTTTGAATTTGATCACCTCACCCCATAGCTTGCAGCTGTACTATCTGGCATTTGAACGTGAAAAATATGGGTAGCCATCGATATCTTTCGAAGGTGTTGATGCATCGTTAAATGTCATATGGTCTGCTCTGTTAAGTTGCTTTTTCCTAGTTCCCTATGGTCCACCAAACGGGATTTAAGAGTGGCCAGGTTGTGGGTCAAGTGTCAACTAAATTCAACCGAGTCTTTAAGGAAGAAAAGGACAACAAGGAAGATGGACGTTGGACGATAGGGTTTGATGTGACATCAACAATGAATCAAATGTAAATTCCAAGCAAAAAAAAAAGATAATGCAAATAACTCATTCCTTTTATTTTAATCTCTCTACTATCTAGAGCACTCAAAATGGGATCGATGGAGCTCACCAATAGGGTGATCAAATTATGAAAGTTTGGAATTGGACCCTAATCTAATTGAGTTGCTATCTACCACTACATAAATACTTAGGTAAAAGTCATCATCATCTCTCTAAGAAATTTTCAGAAATTTTCAAATGCATTTTAGATGTGACTTAACACAACTCGAACTCTTTTTTAGACCCACTCGGGAATGTAATTTATATTATTGTCTATTTTTCAATGCCCCACCTAAGATCATTTATAGCAAAAATGAGCCAAATCATAAATGAAGAAATCATCTAATTATAATTGAATAAATAGATACACACAATTAATTTGTTAAATACTAAAAAGATTATGATGATAATCAAATAGATGATTGATTTCTCATATTAATGATCTTCGGTAAGGATGATTTTTTTAATATCGCGAAGTTACATTGTAAGATAGTCCCCAATATGATAATTTGTGTTGCGTTAAGTTACATACTGCTTTCGTCTCAGTAAAAAAAGAGTTTTTATCAAAACTAGCCAAAATTTACCCTATATTTTTATAAATGTTAATTTTTATAAAAAAAATTCAAAAATAACCAAAAACTTAGTCAAATAGACTCAAATGCCCTCAAAACTAAAACCCACATAAACCTAAAAAGCAAAAAAGAGTTTAGGAGGTTAACTCAAAATCAGAGACGATACTCCATAAATTTTTTCTTTTTTGGCCAAATAAAAAAGAGAGATGGTAATATCAAGTTTACATCATGTGCGACAACCATGCTGGTCCAACATTGTCTCAATTGCACTCCACCAACTCACTCGAGAAACAAATGTTGTCCCAAAATAAGCCAACTTTTAGTTTTGATCCTCAAACTTCAAAGATGCCCATGGAAACGTAGTCCATAAGCCAAAACTACAACTTTATTACTGGCTTACCAAGAAGCAGATGACAAATTTCGGATTACAAAATCCAAAATGACAAGATCATGCTATGGATTTGGTTCGGTTGAAAGACAAACAAATTGTAAACCTTCAAAATCCTCACATCATACACTGGTTCAAATTGCCCTGCGTCCCAACAGCTAGGCTTATTTGCAAAAGTAATATTAAGGTCTTCTTGTTGGGTGTAGCTTTTTAAATATTTGCAAAAGTAATATTAATATTTGCAAAAGTAATATAAAGTATATCCATTAGCAATTAGGATTGTCAATACATAAATGACATCCCAAATACATTTGTTTTAGAAAAGCAGTAAATCTAAATAGCTCAACCTCTCTGTCATAATCCTTAGAACTTTGGTACTCGCCATGGCTGGAAAATTCAATGGTTTCGAGCTCAGTTTTTTTTCTTGTTGGGTGTAACTTTGCTTCTTAAGTTTATGTGGGTTAGTTTTGAGGGTATTTGAGTTTATTTAACTGAGTTTTCTACTATTTTTTATTTTTATTTATTTATAAAAATTGACATTTATGAAAGTATGGGGCAAATTTTTGCTACTTTGGATAAAAACTCGTAAAAAAAGACATTGCCTTACAGGAATTAGGGATGGGCACAGTTTGGTGCTCACCCCAAACCAGAACCATCACTATTCATCCAATCTGATTTGGTTGGAAAATTTTATAAAATCGGTTCGGTTTTTGGTTTTTCAAGGGTTTGGATTGTAATCCTTTTTATTTTTATTTTAATGTTTGACTTTTTTTTACAAAATTCAACTAAAATTTTATTTTTTGGGGCTTGAAATTTCCCAAATGGCCCAATTTCATGCAAAAGAGAGGTAATTGGAGTTGGACTTGGGGAAAGATTAATTATGAGCTTAGAAATTTAGCATTGGGCTTAAATGTTTTATAAATAAATTTTTAAAAAGTGTTGCTATTTCTATCCCTTGTCCCATTTTCCCACCCACCATGTAAATTTGAAAAAAAAAATACAATCCTATCTTTCCACCCACCATTAATCCTAAAATACCCTTTATTTATTAATTCAAGCAAAAAATTAAAAAAGATAACCCAAACAAATTCAACAACCTTTTCATATTATTCTTCTTCAACTTCTTATCCTTTTGAATTGCATTGTCAAACGTAAGCTCTTTCCTTCTCTTCACAGTAGCACTCATTGGCCCAAACAGGACATGATTTTTTGTCTGATTACCAGAGGACTCCCATGTAAAACAAAACTCTCGCCCCAGAATAGTGATTAATCTGGCAGTATCTTTGAGAGTGATAAATGAGTTTTCATAGCTTGTTAGGTTGTAGAAGAAACGGAGATTTGTATGAGAGAAAAAAAATAGGGATTAGGAGAATAGATGGGTTACGTAAGTTGAGGTTTTTTCTCAAAGACCTTATAAGTCATTTTACAAAAGGGATAAATTTTTCTTTAAAATTTTGAAGATAAAGTGGGTGGGGAAATAGGATAAGAGGGTGGAAATAGCAACACATTAAAAAATACACAATCGATTTAATTCGGCCCGGTACAATTTTTGGTCAACTCTGTTTTTTCGGGTTTTTTTTTTCCAGACCAATTCGGCTTGGTTTTCCAATTTTCCTGTTTGAATACCCACCTTTAGCAGAAACCCCCATGACACCTTGATAGTGTGTGTAAGAAAACCCTCCTCTCTAATATTACTTGTATAAATAAAAAAAAGTTACATACCGCTTTCGTACATTAGCCATCTATTGCTTTTAAGTTTTAACTAGTAAATAAATATATGTATTAGATGTGAATTGTGAATTAAATAAGATTGCCAAAAAATTACAAATATATGAAAACTTTTCGAAGTGTAGTAGAAAATATTGAAAACTCACATTGAGGCGGCTGGGTTAAGACTTTAATTTGATTATTAGTCCAAATTCTTACTTGACGATCTCAATTGAAACTTAGGGGGGTATTCAATTGTGATTTTAGGAGGGTGTATTCAATTGTGATTTTAATGGATTGTTTTGAAGCTTAAAAGTACAGTTATATTCAATTAGAATTTTAAAGTAATCAATTAAAATATGGTGGTATTCAATTAGGATTTTTAAATAATCAATACAAGTCTGATGGTATTCAATTAGGACTTTTTAAAAGATAAGAAAAAGTATCATCTTTTAAAAAAAAAAAGATAAGAAAAAGTACCGTGGTATTCAAAAACTTACTGATTTTGAGGTATTTCATTAAATGGTGTATTGTGTGAGACTTTAGAGTGTGTGATATAAATACCAAATCACATAACAAATCTCATCTTCCTATGCATGATTCTCATATATGCTCTCATACTTCTTCTTTTTTCCACTATTTTTGTATGCTTTCGACTGTACATAAAAAAAAAAACTTTTCATAAGAGAGACGATAAAGAAACATTAACAAGAGAGATGATATTGCCTCTTCTAATGGGCATTTTCCAATGGCTCTTCTTTCCTTGTAGACAAGCTTATTTGGAGAAAAATTATATTTTCAATGCTTTTTTTTTCTTTTCAGAATCTCCTGCTCATTGTAGACATTTCCTTGCAAGGAGTTGAAGTCTAATGCCTCAAAGAGGCTTTTAAAAAAAAAAAAAAATAATAATAATAATAATAATAATAATTTTTTTATATGCGTAGCTGCTGCGCGTACAGTGCACATGGCTAAATATTTTTTCTATTTCCCTGTCCCAAAATGTTTGGGACCAGAAAAAAACAAAAAAAGAAAGAAGAAGCCTTACCCACAATCTAGAAGAAACGTTAATAAGGTGTAAGGTGTTTTTTTTTTAACAGTAATCAAACGTAGAGAAGTTTTCGTATAATTTTAAGGGTCTTTGATGCTTCAAAGGCTTAGAGCTTCTTTACAAACATGGCGAAAGACAAGTGTTGGTGTTTCTCCATGTACTTGATTCTTCCTGATGTGAAAGATGGGCAGCCATATATTTGAATAAAAAAGTTTGTTCCAGTCTGACTTCTTAGCTCAACATCATCCATACAATAAAGTTGAAGTGGGTGACTTTAAAATCCCAGAGTTTAAACTTTTCTTCTAACTTAGAAGCATCCAAAATTCTCAAGGATTTTGGTCTGGTGATGATGCATTTCACTAGTAATTTGACAAAGATGTTTAAGTCTCCTCCACATATTTTTAAGAAAATCACAAGGATTTACAAGAATCAAACTTTGAATTGAAGGAGCTAGCAAATCTACTCCCACAATAGCTTATGAAATTAAAGATTTTGATGTGAACCTAAAATCTGAAAAGATGGGACGAATTCATGTAAAAAGTGAGCTTGGTTTATGATTGGCACTGGCGTGTTGTGTGATAGAGTGTATTAGGGTGTATTAGAGGTATTTTTGGTAATTAAATAAAGTATACTTAGTTAATTTTACATTTTGATTAAAATATTAGGGTGTACTTAGTTAATTTTATGGTGTACTCAATTAATTTTAAGGTGTACTCAGTTATTTCTGGTGCTATCTGTTTTGCATTAGGTGTTGGTGGCTTTGGATGTAGCTTCTAGCCTCTGCTTATGCTTTTGTATTTCTATTGTTGGTTTCTCAGTTGTGTTGTGTTGCAATAAAAGTTCATTTTTTCGACAAAAAAAAAAGTCATGGGGTTGAGCGAACGTGGTTAACTCAAATCCAATTCACACTTTGGGCAAATCTACTTTGGAGAATACAAAAAAAATCCTAAGTGCATTAAAATCATAAGTAAAATCCTATAATTACAATATATTAAAATCATAAGTAAAATCTTATAATTATAAATCCGGTTGAAATCCATTACATTAAAATCTTGTCATTACAATCTATTAAAATCTCAATTGAATAAATCCCCAGAAATTTAATTAATTGAGGGTGAGGTTGCTTGAATTGATCCAGGTCAGGTTGAAGTGCAATTGAAAAAATATTTTTGTTAAAATATAAATCTATGTGATTATATAGGGCGGGTTGGGGTCTGGTGTCGGCCAAATTCGCATATCAAACTCAGCCCATTACAATGGGACCAAGGTTCAAAATTTCAAGTTGGGTTTTATTTGGGTTTAGCCCGCCCAATTTACCTACTTCAAATTTTCCGAAATAATAATAATTAGAAGCAAAACGTGGCTCAGACCGGAAAAAAAAAAGAAGCAAAACGTGCCGGGGTGATTTCGTCAAAACAGGGATTGGGGGTTCTGTAATTCTTCCTTAGGGCTAGGGCGGGTCACAAGGCCAAAAAACGCAAAAGTTTTGCGTCAAACACTGCACTGCAACAGTCCCTTGTTTCTTTGCCGCTCAATCTTACGCAGGTACTCCTTTTCTTCTTGTACTTCTGGGGTTTAAGCTTGTTCAATCTGAAATTTTCTAATCGGTGTAGTTGGGTTTATGGTGTTCGACAAAAGGTTTGAACTGGGGTTGAGTTGATTATATTGGTTTTTCTTCTTCTTTTATTTGCAGAGGCACTGCGTGAGTTTGTGAACTGAGCTGGGAGGTAGACGGAGGCAGGAAAAATGGATGCAGATGCTAAGGACGAAGGTTACAAACTTCCACCAGATTTTCACGAAAATACTAAAGAAGCACTTGTCGATTTCACTGTGACCGACTCCACAGAGCTTTGGCTCATTGATTTGCCTAAAGATCAAGTATGTTGCTTTTTGGGTGGGGGGCTCTTTTCTAATACTTTGTATCAATGCCAGTTTATAAGTTTTCAGTATAAAGAGAAAGACCAAAAAGATGCAAGCTTTAATAATCTGCCGAAGTCATTTTAGTGTTGTGCTTTTCTCTCTTGAGAGGGGAGTGATTATGGAAAGTGAATTTTTTTAATCTGGGAAGAAGTTTTACACTGAACTAGTTGATGACCCAATTTGTGTTCAAGGAAAACCTTAACTAGCTGTCCAGAACTGACTTCCATGGCCTCAGGTCCTTATGGTGGAAAAATAGTGCTCATGTCCTTAGAATTTAGCATTAGTGCTATTTTTGTTTCTTATTTTGATCTTTGCCAGTCATTGAATTTTGTTGATGATTATTGGGTATTGCAGAATCCTGATTTTAATGGTGTAGAACTGTCGCTCAAGCTTCATAATGATGGAACGTTGGGCAGTTTTGAGGCTCCGTCCGGTAATTATACATAAACTTTGTTAATAGAAGAGACAAACTCTTCTGAATACCCTTTTCTTTTGTCTAAGTGATTTCATATCCAAAGAAGCTAATTTCTATATGACCCTGCAATGCCTGATTTCTTATTTACTATGGATAACTGATACGATCTTTCTGATGTTCTCAGGGAAAGAATATGAAGTGGTCAGTAGTGCAGCTGAGCAAAAGGCTACAGTTTTTGTATCTTCTGCATCGGGCACAAAAATTGGTACACTGGAAACCTATACTGGGCATATATTAATCTCAACTTTGGTTCTTATGCTTACCTTTCAGTTCCTTATTAATGTTTTAAAATTGGGACTGAGCCTTGGTATCACAGTTTGATGTTCTTTCAAAACTTCAACAACCAACTTGAATTTAGTTGTGTTAATTGCTATACATTCATGATTCGTGTCCCATCTGTTCCTAAAAACTTGACATTGGGCTCACATGCTAGCAGAATATGTTCGTGTATAGATTCTCAATACATGTTATTTTCCAAACAAGTACAGGTGATTATAGCTAGTTTTATTATTTGGTCATGTGAAGTTCTGTTACTAAGGTCTAATTTTAAGTCTTGCATTTGCTGTATGGTCATTTTAGTCATGGTAGGTTGAAATGATAAAATACAGTTTTATTTGACCCTTTTCTTTGTTTTTGTCTCTTGATAAAGTTGTTCTTATTACAATTGTTGCTGTTGTTTTGTTGTCTTCACTGGCAATGGTCTTTGAGGTGTCTTATTATCTTACATTGAAATGATTTATATCTTGGCAGCTGGGAAGATTTCACGGAGAGTTTCTTTTGTGCATTACCCAGAGCCTAGTGAGCTCAAAGAAAGACTAAATTCCAAAAGATTGAAAAAAATGTATCAGGAATTACCGTCTGGAGTGTTGACCCAATCTTCCAACAATTTTGCAACTCCTACACGAAGTTCTGTGCCGAGAAACTCACAATCAGCAGGTGGACGTTCAGCCTCCACTCATAGTAGCAGACCTAAAAGTTCCATACATAGTGTTGGCGAGCAATCACAACATCGAAAGAAAAGGCATACACCCGAACCTAGTAGGTCCATGAACCGGTCTTCCCAAAACTCAGGACGAGGTAGTGCAGTCAGTTCCTTAGGACAAGGTAATAGTGGAATCAGTTCCTTAGGACAAGGTCACAGTGCATCTAAGTCCTCAGGACAAGGTCATCATAGTGAATCAAGGAAGAAAGTAAAAGATGAGAATTGACATCCCTATCCGAGGGTTGGAAACACCTCCTGCACAATGGATCTTGATGGAGGATGAAGTAATCAGTCCTCTGTATTGCTTTTCGGTTCGGCTGGACACTTGAAGCAGTTTTACAAAGTGCCAAACCGTTTGTGCTATCCTGGCTTCTTGATTATATAAAGCTTTTAGTTAAATTTGTTTCTGGGATATTTTAGTTGAAAATTTATTCCAGGAGAACACATACATCAATTATTCGCTCTACTGGTTTAATTTTATCTGTCTCGATTCTTCATTCCCAATTTCAAATTTCTCTCTTAATTGGTTCTAATGTGTCGGATCTCACCTGCTCAGAAATGTAATCTTCCTTCCATTTGCTACTTATGTTTTCCAAGATTGCAATTATACCTGAAGATCCCGAAGCTTGCAACATGAGCTCAAATTTGCCAAGGCCAGTAGAAAGTCTAGCCCAACCGCGAATAGTTCACCCAGGGCGGTTGAAGCAAATTGGTTACTGTCACTTGTTAGGGCACTTCCAGCAGTAAAACCCTTGCCATGGCAAGGGGGGACTAGGGCAAGTATTATTCACATGAATAGTGCCTGCCCTTGCAAAAAGTAAAATGCACTTCCAGCAGTTGTCATGGCAAATGCTATTCACTTTTTTGTTTTTTTAACAAATTTGTTTACCTAAATAATTAATTTGGACAAGATTTTGGGTTTCTAATTTTAGATAAATTTTTGTTTCAAATTTCAAATTTTGGGTATTTTTAAAAAAAAAATTTGAATTTTTTTCATATTTTTTTGCAGAAAAAATTTTCTGCCGTTGGATTGAAGGACAAAAATGAATCTGACAGCCGAGAAGCCACCACGTGGCACCAGCCCTCGAGCTCCCCCTGCCTTCGAACCAACCCAGGCTCGTGGTCCCCACAGCTTGCCCGGGCCAACCTCTGCTGCTAGAAACCGAATTTGGGCACAAACAGCCCCCCAGCCCTTGCTTGCGGGCTCTGCTGGAAGTGGCCTTAATGCAAATTGTTTACTGTCACTTGTTGATGCATGTAGAATTCACATTACATTTGTGACTAAAAATAAACTGCTTGTGCGTGTCCAATTGTCCCTAACAAAACTGATCCGCATTATTGCGTGTACAACTATCTCTAGCAAAACTGATCCGCATTATTTCATGTACGACTATTTCTAGCAAAACTGATCCTAGCAAAACTAATCTGCATTATTTCATGTACGACTGTTTCTAGCAAAACTGATCTTAGCAAAACTAATCTGCATTATTTTGTGTACGACTGTCTCTAGCAAAACCGATCCGCATTATTATTCATTGTCCTCGGGCTAAAGCCCAAAAGTCTAATAAGGGGAGAATCTCCCTTCACCCATGGATAGTCCACTTGTCCTGACAGGCTGAAACAAACTACTCTGTCCCGCCATGCACTCTCCGCCCCTCCGCTCTGATCTATAAAACCTCAGTTTGTTTTGTTGTTTCTGTCTTTTCGTCCCCTTACTTTGCTACCCAACTTGGCAATTTACGACTGTTTCTAGCAAAACTGATCTTAGCAAAACTAATCCGCATTATTTCATTTACGACTGTTTCTAGCAAAACTGATCTTAGCAAAACTAATCTGCATTATTGTGTGTACGATTGTCTCTAGCAAAACCGATCCGCATTATTATTCACTGTCCTCGGGCTAAAGCCCAAAAGTATAATAAGGGGAGAATCTCCCTTCACCCATGGATAGTCCACTTGTCCTGACAGGCTGAAACAAACTACTCTGTCCCGCCATGCACTCTCCGCCCCTCCGCTCTGATCTATAAAACCTCAGTTTGTTTTGTTGTTTCTGTCTTTTCGTCCCCTTCCTTTGCTACCCAACTTGGCATGGCACGTGGTAAATTCATATAAAATTCCCAGCACCAATCAAATTCAAACACGTGTACGACAAACCACCTTTGTCATAGACCCACCGTTTTCTAGATCCAACGAGCGCAGCCTTACACTTGTATCGTTTTCCATACAAGATTAGGAGCACCAATGAGAGATTAAATATTAGTATTAATAATGGAAATTAATCTGAATTACCCATACAAAAATAAACAAATAATTAATATTTAAAATCTTAGTGGAAGCGGACTAACCAGAGTTGAGAGAGACTTGTATTGTATCCACTCACGGCTCATCTCAATTTTAATCCCTTTTAAAATCTTAAGCCTTTAAAACTTAATTTCACTTCACTACTGGACTAGCTTTGGTGTTTTCTTTGACTGGTTTTTTTTCTCTCTCTCTCTCTCTCTCTCCTCCTATCCTTTCTGCGTTCCAATCTGCAATCAGGTACAAAACCCTAATTGCTGCTTCTTATCTCAAATTTTCATCCTTAATGATTATTTTAATATCTCTCTAATTAATAGCCATTGCTGTTTGTGTTTATTTTCTGTCATGCATTTTCTTTCTACTGCAGCTTTGAAATCAATCTGATATATTTCTTTCCCGGATTCTAGTTTTCTTTTCATGCCTTGTTTGGTTGCCGTGAAAATCGAAGTTTCTATTCAATTTTCCAGCAACCAGACGGAGGATTTATATAAATTGGTTTTGCTTGCTGCTCAAACTTAGATCTCATCCAAATCTACTATTAAAAGTAATTTTTCTGTTTGTGTTTCCGTCGGAATTGGTGGTCATTGAAAAGCTGCTGATTTTCTACAGTTTGTGTGTGAATTTTGCGATTAGGTCCCTGTACTTGCACCAAATTATGGTGACAATGGATGTGGATAACAAGTTTTTCAGTGTGGGTCTGATGATTTTGGCCACTCTAGTGGTGGCCAAGCTTATCTCATGGCTTTTGATGTCCCGATCTGGAAAGCGTCTCCCTCCGGTGGTCAACACGTGGCCTGTGATTGGGGGACTTCTCCGTTTCTTGAAAGGTCCCATTGTGATGCTTCGTGAAGAGTACCCTAAGCTTGGGAGTGTATTCACATTGAACCTACTTAACAAGAAGATCACTTTCTTGATTGGTCCTGAGGTTTCTGCTCACTTCTTCAAGGCCCCGGAATCTGATCTTAGCCAGCAGGAGGTCTACCAGTTCAATGTGCCCACTTTTGGCCCCGGAGTTGTATTCGATGTGGATTACTCAGTGCGGCAAGAGCAGTTCCGGTTCTTCACCGAGGCTCTCAGGGTGAATAAACTTAAGGCATATGTGGATCAGATGGTTACAGAAGCAGAGGTAAGTGTTTGGATTGAATATATATTTTTGTTTATCTAATCTGCTTCAGCCTTCAACATGTTTAGTAATTTATTCACATATGTCTAGGAGAAGACCCCCTCCGTATTCTTAGGCAATTAGCAATATCAGATGTGACTCAAGGTCACAATTCTTTACCATCATGGCCTACACTAATATCCTGGGACTTGCAAGTTTTTCTAGGAATGTTGATTGGATGAAGGGCCTTCTCAACTGGCACGTGTTTCTCTTTCATGAACTTACCAAACAAAAAAGATTGCTCCTTAATCGGAACAATTGAGAAGCCTTTAGGACCTGGTTCCTTTTTTTTCTTTTTTATTTTTTTTTATTTTTTAAAGAGAATAAATTGCCACTAAGCATCAATTAGATGCTGGCAAGTCTGGGGCAACATAAGCTTTCATCATTTTCTTTTTTATTATTTTTTAAAGAGAATAAATTGCCACTAAGCATCAATTAGATGCTGGCAAGTCTGGGGCAACATAAGCTTTCATCATTTTCCTCATATACTATTGTTCAATTTAAGCACACACTTAGGCACAAACCCACACAAAGACATGCTTGTACTTTTTATTCTAAAGTCTCAAACAACTTGTTGGAACTTTCACTTGTGCTTGTACCTTGTTCTAGAAAACTTATACCTAGTGAATGGACATCTATTGTGTTAATCCTTGTCCTCAAACTGTACTTGGCAGGATTACTTTTCCAAGTGGGGAGACAGTGGCGAGGTGGACTTAAAGTATGAGCTGGAGCATCTGATCATCTTAACTGCCAGTAGATGCCTCTTGGGTCGCGAAGTTCGTGATAAACTCTTTGATGATGTTTCAGCGTTGTTCCATGACCTTGACAATGGCATGCTTCCTATTAGTGTCATCTTCCCATACCTGCCCATCCCAGCTCACCGTCGCCGTGACCAGGCACGCAAGAAGCTTTCAGAAATCTTTGCAAGCATCATAAACTCCCGTAAGCGTTCTGAACAGTGTGAGAATGACATGTTGCAATGTTTCATTGATTCGAAGTACAAAAATGGCCGACCAACAACTGAATCTGAGGTCACTGGCTTGCTCATTGCTGCTCTCTTTGCTGGGCAACACACTAGTTCTATCACTTCCACTTGGACTGGGGGCTATCTCCTCCGTCACAAGGAATACTTATCTGCTGTGTCAGAGGAGCAGAAAAACCTAATGAAAAAGCATGGGAAGAAGGTTGATCATGATATATTGTCAGAGATGGATGTCCTGTACCGTAGCATCAAGGAAGCTCTGAGATTACACCCTCCACTAATCATGCTGCTGCGAAGCTCGCATAGTGATTTTAGCGTACAAACCCGTGAGGGGAAAGAGTATGACATCCCGAAGGGGCACATAGTTGCCACATCACCATATTTTGCCAACCGGCTTCCTCATATTTACAAGGAGCCAGACACGTACGATCCTGAGAGATTTGCTGCTGGGAGAGAAGAAGATAAGGTGGCAGGGGCATTCTCATATATCTCATTTGGAGGTGGCAGGCATGGATGCCTTGGTGAGCCTTTTGCATACTTGCAGATAAAGGCTATATGGAGCCATTTGCTGAGAAATTTTGAATTGGAGCTGGTGTCACCTTTTCCCGAGATTGATTGGAATGCCATGGTTGTGGGTGTGAAGGGAAAGATGATGGTGCGGTACAAGCGACGGGAGCTCTCCTTCGATTAATGGCAATGACTTTTTTGGGTGGTCAGCAGGTTTTGTTTTTTGGTGAGGTGGTCAGCAGTTTTAAATTATTGTTCTCTAGGATGTTTTTGCCCCCTCTTCTTGTATGTGTTGATTTTCTTCCCCGTTTTGCAATTAAATGTTGATGATGCGTACTTTTACTGGATTATGTCTTGTTTAGTGTCATATTTATGATGAAGATTGTAGCTTCTGACATGACTTCAGATTTACTCCAGTTTCATGGACTAGCGGCAGTTGTTTTTAGTTTTCTCTTATCTTCGAAAAAAAAATTTGCTACATGTAGAGGAGCAGTTGATGCACCACAATGCCAGCTTTTTTTCTTTTCCTTTTTTGGGTCGAAAACATATCCATTACGAAGAGAAAACAAAGAGGAAAATGAAAACAGCACAAGCGCTGCACCTCAAGGACAAACAGGTCCAGTCTCCATAAAACGCCACAATGCCAGCTTAGGTGATTCAATTTAATGTTTCACTATACAGATGTACTGCGTGAAAAACTTGAAAAGTAAAGACAACAAAAAGCTTATCAGAGAGAGAGAGAGAGAGAGAGAGAGAGAAGACAGGCTTGAGACAATTAGCTACTTGCCACACATTTTCATTTCAACTCTTGGCTTCATGGAAAGAAATCTTCTCCCTCGAGATTGATGGTATATAATCAAAGAAACCGGCTTTTCTCAGCTAACCAATATCTTCTGGCATCCTGAATAATAAACTCATGATAAATAAGCCGCATTCTTTATAGCCGGCTAAGTAATTTCCTATGAGAAATGTTGAATTTCAAAGGAAATTCAGTTGGGTACGATCTTGATGAGCTCAATATCAAACAGAAGAGTCTTGTCTATCAGCCCCTGGTTCCTCAGCACAAAATCCAAGGCTCGTTGGCCCTGTGAAACATCGACATTCCACCTTTATAAGAACAAGCAGAATTTCATTACAAGAATCACCAACAGGACACAAGAATTACCGAAAATGTTGTGGGTCTCGGTGCACTTTTGTTGTAGTCATTCTCAGGATATCCCAACTCTGGGGGCACTATGATCCTGCATCACTGTGAACTAGATTGTGAAATTTGCATATAATATTTGATGTATTAAACTGCTCATTCAACCTAACTTCTTGAAAATTCCTTAAGCAACTGCTATATGCTACAGAAAAACATGCAGCACCTTCTAATGCCACCAAGAGCCATGCCTGAAACAGCTTCCTCAAAAGCTGGTATTACCTGAAGATTCAAGGACCAAACACCACCATTAGAGCCCACTAATCGAGTATTTGAGTAATTATATGCTAACAAGCCAGTGAACAACTCAAGATCTACGGTTCAATTTAAAACAGCAATTTGTCCTCCACACTGTTCCAACTGAATCCTAATCTACAGAGTTGCACAATATTGTATTATTAACGACCTTCTGATGTAGTGTTGGACAAACTATGAGACAAAACACATGAGACCATGGAGAATCACAAAGCGAAATAATAAACAAACAGCTGCAACAACCAAGATTGTCTGGTTGAATTAGTTCACAAATCTCTCACCTCCTGAGATCCTACCCTAAATTTGAAAAAGGCCTTGTCATCACCCTGCATTTGAGAAACCATGGAACGGAGTCTGTCAATTAAGCTCATGCAACGCTACGAAGTCCACAGTTAAGGAATGAGAAGTATTCCATACCTCAAATGAACCGCCCTTTGTCTTATTTCGAGCTTCAAAGATACGTCCATAATATCCTATGGTATAACCATCCCAATCAACCTGGAACACATCCAAATATCAAAAACCACAATAACGACCGAACTTTGAAGATAAAAACATTTGCAAGCCTGCATGAGTCTATGTTGACTTCATCCAAAATTTCCATCCAAAGTAAAGGAAGTTCGTTCTATAGATTTTCATATAACAGACAAATCCATTGATACAAATTGAAACTAATTTCAAACAGACACCTTATCTGAATGTAAGATTCCCACTTAGTACATGAAAAGTGAAAACCCAAGTAAAAACTTCAAAGCACGCCCTCAAAGAATGGGTGGCTTACCACTACTGTCTCTCCCACCTTGGGTTTGGGGCCATCTCCTAGTCGTAAGTCCTGCATTAGATACCACAAAATAAAAATAAAAAACACTCTGAAGAGCTTGTGAATTTAACCAAAACAAGGAAGTATGGTTAATGTTCCAGTAGGTGACCTTATACTGAAGACCTGATGCAGTTTCTGTGTAGTCTGGATAACTCATTTTCGACTTGCCATAGTCCTTTCCCCTAAGTGCTGGCACTGTAAGTAGTTGAAAACAATTCAGAATGAAATCAATGATATGAGAAAAAGCAACAATTTTCGACTGTCAGCAAAAAGCAACACAGTGACACAGTACACAGATTATATAAACATGTATAATATTTGACCCATGAGCAGCATTAGGAAAAAGAAATTACTCACTGTCAGCAAATTGAGATGCCAGGGCTACTCCATCTTTTGAAGCATTGCAAAAGGCTGCAGCTACCATACCAATGGATGAAAAGACAAAGCTTCTTCGTTCGACAGGATTGCTTCCACCTATCAAAGATTCAAACTTTATTCAATTGATAGCAAAATACAATCTTTGAATCTCGTGGGTCAAGCCCAATTTACCTAATCAATAAATATCTCAATGGTTAATTTACTAACCGCCTGCACCTGAATCAGAAAATTTCCCCGGTTCCGGAAGAAGAAGAGACTGAGGTCCGCGCTGTCTCTGCCGCATCAGAGAGAAGGTATGCGCAAAACGACGTACCGGGTTTGAAGATTTTCCAACGGGTGAAGACAGCGGTCGGGGTGGAGATCCGACGAAAGAGATTGAGGCCATTTTAGCTATGGTACTACTTGACTTGGGAGAAAAGGGTGAACTGTGAAGTGGTGACTGGGGGCCAGGAAATGTGTTTCGCGGGAAGATAACGGCCTCAACTTGTCAAGCTCAAGCCCTCTAATTTTTTATTTTGGAAAAAGGTGACTCTTGGTCTCTTGTTTGTCATTTTTAAACAACCAATACAAATATAAATGTAAAATAAAAATAAAACCTCTCTCCCCTTCTCCTCCCCAACCCCACTGCAACACCTCTCAGTAACCCAACCACTACCCAGCCACCCAAGCCCATTCAAACCAAATTGAAACCACAGGATCAAAGTGGTAAAAGTGGCAAACTACTGGAATCATAAGTGAATTTTTGTCTATTTTTGTCTTATTTCATTTTTGGTTTCTCCCTTAATTAGCTTTCTTATTTTTCAAATAAAATATGTAATAGTTTCTATCTTGTTTCATTTTTGGATATGGTGTGACATGTTATGTCGATAACACAATCAAAATTTGAGTAAGATATTTCAACAACAATTCAAATTGTACTTTTGTTTTTATTTTTCCTCTGAAATTAATTTTTATTTATTTATTTATTTATACAAGCGACAATCTAAACGATAACCAAAAAGGTGGGAGCCCATTTGGAAATGCTTTTGAAAGGATTAAAAACGCTTTATGATAACCAAAAGTGCTTATGACAACATTTGACAGAAAAGTTTAGAAATGCTTCCGAATCACAGAAGCGTTTTATGAAGAAGCACATGCCATATGCTTCTTCAGGAAGCACTTCTAAGTGTTTTTCCATGAAGCATTTTAGATTTGTTATGAAACTTTCAACATCTTTATAATAAATGAGCTTATGAGCAGAAATGCTTCCTAGAGAAGCAGTCCCAAATGGACCCACACTGCGACAACCAACTAGACTAATCCAGATCTGTTCAAACTACAAATTTGTTGACGTAACATAATAAAACCATTTCCCTTCAAGTAGCAAACCAGTAATTAACATTGACCATAACTACTTGTTGGCCCATAATTCAATTTTATTCTCAAATCCAAATGAAAAGTACTCGTGGGTCGGGTCGGTCCACATATCCCATGTTATTCATCCGGCCACTGAATAAATAGCAAACCAGTAGGCAGTGTGCATCAGATGTACATTTCTGTAGGTGACTGTCTAAAATAGCTTTTTCATAGGGTGGGGAGAAAACAATGCCAAACACCAAAGCAGGAGCAAAATGTAATCTCTCTCACTCAACTTGAAGCCGGTATGAACTCATCAAACGTAATTAACGTCTTACAAAGCACTCAGCCTAAATTTACAGGAAGACAAGGCCCCACCCAGCAGCTTTATTCAACTCATACAAGTAGTTCTCACAATCTTACATCTTACAGACTAACCAATTTAAGAGAGTTGGCCTTCTCTTGCAGAGTATCCAGCAGGCTGTCAAAACTCTTCTTGAAAGAATCCACTCCTTCAATTTCGAGTTGGTTCCCGACGTAGCTCCAGTCAATTCCTAACTTCTCTAGTGCACTGTAAATGCCTTCAGCCTCGGAGACATTGGAGTCAATTGTCCTTGATACAGTACCGTGATCGATAAATGCTTGGAGAGCTTGGTCTGGCATGGTTGAAACCTGTAAAAGGAAAGTTGGCATCAAACATTAAGCCACGTTAAACTATGAAGTCTATTAAAGCAAATAATATATCATCAGATTCATCAGACTTAAAATCATGAGAACGAATAACTATCAAGCAACAGCTATCTGGTTGGGCTCTAAAATGGCTCACCGTGTCAGGGCCTATGAGAGGAGCAACATATAAAGTATCAGGGTAGGCAGGATTCTTGACGCTGGTTGAGGCCCACAGCAGCCTCTGCTTCTTGGCACCTTTTTTCACCAAAGCCTCCCATCTAGGGCCAGAGAATTTCTTCTGGTAGAGTTGGTATGCTAAAGCAGCTTGAGCTACAGCAGCCTAAAACAGTTAACTCGTGACATTAGCAAATCTCTACCTTCTTGGTTTTTTTTATTAAGAAAAAGAAGTTGAACATGTGATTTTGATTTACCTTTCCTCGAAGGTCAAGGGCCTCTGGAGTTCCAATCTTTTCAAGCAACTTGTCAATAAGGGTGTCCACTCTACTGACAAAGAAGGAAGCAACACTTGTGACTTTGGAGAGGTCATTTAATCCGGAAGCCTCAAGGCCATCCAAGTAAGCATCAATGACCGCCTCATATCTTGTGAGAGAGAATATAAGCTGTGCGCACATTAAGATAAAGTAAGAGTCAAAACATATATAATACGTAATTGTAAGATCATTATATAAAGGAGGCACACAAGTTCAAATACTAGAGAATTCAAATGAATTAGAGATGATGCCAACACCCCCCGAAAACTTCCTCTCATGATAGAGGCCCAACAAGAACAAAGATCAGTCTACCCACAAGAATTTATGACAGCTATAGCACAGCAGGCAGATTTTACTCGCACCATGTAAACAATCACTCAGGCAAAATGGTCAGCCAACCTACCACACCGAATAAAAATTCTACTGAGACATACTTTTCCAACAAACCATATTGGCCATCTATTCTGACCGAAGCAAAGATGAGAATCGAATTTTAACCCCCCCCAAAGAAAAGGAAAAACACAAAGATAAACAGAACTATACTTACAGTTACATTGACACTTATGCCATTTGCTATGACTTCCTTAATTGAAGGGATGCATGGAGCAGTAGCAGGGATTTTTATGTAGACATTGGGGTGGGCAACTACTTTATGTAGCCATTTTGCAGCCTCGATAGTCCCTTGAGTGTCATCAGCAAGTCTGGGAGAAACTTCAACAGAAACATAACCATCACCAGCATCAGTTTGATCATAGATTGACTCAAAAAGTTTTGAAGCATCTTGAATGTCCTTCACCACAAGTTCCCAATATGCACTTTCAATGTCTTTTCCTGATTGTACAAGTTCCCTGCAAATTCCATTAATTGAAGTTATTGACAGATAAACAAAGTGTATCAGGGGGTTGCTACTTAAAACTTTTGGACTAGAGAGCAAAGAACAACACGTCCACCTACCTAGCCCCAGATGCCCAGGAGCCTACAACCACCAACTCAAATGATAATGAGTTGTGTATACAGTCATGCTAGAAACTATTTCTAACGAAGTACAAACCTCTACTAGGACAAACTGATAGATCCATAAAAATATCAAACATCCCCCAGACACAACCCCTTCCCATCAAGACAATCATTGAAAATACCTGAATTGATCATTATACGCATTTGAAGTGGATATTGCTTTCTGGAAAATCTGCAGTCATAAATTATAAAGAGCTAGTTAGATCGGATCGCAAAATAATACATGAAAACCGCAGAAGACGCATTTAAAGAAACAATTGGTCCAACATTTTGATAATTTCACTTCCAAACCCATTTCTCATTTGATCTTAGATCAAGAAAAACATCTTCCATACATGACAGAACAGTAAACATGGTTCAAAAAACACAGGAGAAATGTAATAAAAGAGCAAATCATTTGTAATTACCGCTGGGTTACTAGTTACACCTCTAACCCCACTTGCAATAAGTGGAAGCAGATCTGTAACAGGTCGGCAGAGGTTATCATACCATGGACTCTGCCCTTCCTTCTCGTAGAGATCATGGAGATATGTTCTCTTTGCTGGACTTCCATTTCCATCACCTTGAGAACATCTCACACTGCAAAAAGCAATGTTCCGTGAACCCAAATGAGCAACGTTTTCGATTCACAGTCAATTACCAACATGAAATAAGACAACTTTGAACACAAAATACGAAATTAATGAAACAAACAAAGCTCAAATCCAGCTTTCTAAAAAAACCATCAAAGCATCTGAAAGGATTAAAGATACAGACGGACCATAATCATGAAAGCATATAAGTATTGACCAGATAATATAAAAAATCAATAACAAAAACAGTAGACCCCAAAGAAGGAAACATACACCAGAGAGCCCTTGAGAGACGACTTGCTTCGTATGGACAATTTGGAAGAAGAAACTTTGGAGCTGAAGTTGGTGGTGGTGGTGAGGAAGCCGATCAAGCACTTGGGCTGGGAAGCTCTAGGGTTGAAAGTGGACGACAAAGATGAAGCAGGGCTGGGATTGGAAAGCTTGGAAATGGAAGCCATATTAGATCACAGGGCACTCGCAGAAAGGGAGAGTAGGAGGAAGTAAGGAAGGAGACAAAGCCAATGTGGGGGTTGGTGGAAGACTGATTACTGAGGAAAGATTTCTCCTTTTATTTACGATACGATACAAACGATGATTTCTTTCTTCTTCTTTTTTTATTTTTTTTGGGGGGTTTTTGTGATTTTTGGTAGACCCCAAACGGCAGCAGGTAGGGGACAACGACTCTATCTCTCGATGGAACTGTTGGTACTTGGCACTTGGTAGCTAGCTGACTCAATGCTGACGTCATAATCCTAATTAGATAGATAAAGTTATTTTTGTGGTTATTTATCACCTTCATCTGACCATGGCCTTACCTGGGTTGTTGTTGTACAAGGTTGGTGGTCGCCATAGAATTGAATAAAGAAAAAAAAAGAAAAAAAACACATATTGTAGACAAAGTAAATAAATCTTGGCAGGATTTTGTACCATTTACTATAATAAAGTATAGGTGGTTAAATCTAAACGTCGAGTTTGGAAATGAATCTTCCCTTAAATTGAACAAAATCGATGATACATGGTTTACATGTGTTTGCATGTATTTATGTTGTTGAATAATGTGGTACAATATTATAAGAGAAAACGAGTCATGAAGCTTTGAAACCATTGCCAGAGTTTTTTTAATTTTAATTTTAATTTCTTTATATAAATCGAAGATTAAAATTGAGTGAACTACACTTGAAATTAGCAATTTTTTTATTTATAGAAAAAGGTAAAAATATAGGTTGTATTTTTTTCCCCCTTAAAGGCTCCTCCATTGCTTACAACATGTTTTATTTTGAATTATAAAGATATTAATATAATTATCTAAATTTATTTACTAAGTGACTTTTTTAATAGGTAAATACTATGAGGTATCCCCACACTTGAAGAGTGGGATCAATCCTCACTCAGAGTTCAGCTTGCCCCTGGCCACGAAGTGCTCCCAACTGATTTCGAACCCCTGACATTGAGGCACAGTTCGCCAGCTTGAGATGACAGTTTGTCAAACGCACCACATCTTGTGGTTTACTAAGTAACTCTTTGAAGATTTGAAACATATGCTTTTACCTGTACTTAGAAATAAAACTCAAGATTCTGAAATATATGGAAGAAAAAAAAAATTGTAGCTTATGCTGTTAAATGCAATTACTACAAATGTGGGTTACACCAGCTGACTAAGGCAGTAAGTTAAATATCGCTTTTATAAAATAAAAAAAAATAAAAAAAAATTGTAATTGACTCCCCCTTCCCTAATTTTTGTTTGTATCAAAACAATTGTCAAATATGCAAACCGAATTAAATTTGGTCACAACTTGCAAGCGTTACTTTTAAGCTAGACGCAATTTTAGTGTTTGATTAAGACGTATACATTGTGGCGTGCAAGCAGAAAGAAGAAGAAGGAAATTTTGTATCGTATTCTGCAGCCTCTATGTATATGTCATTAATTATGAGATATTTAGTCAAATACCCATTCTTAGCACTAAAACTATAAATAAACCCCACATCATTTAATTTCTATAAACAAACCCAAAAAATGACAATTGGCTCTATTGAATTTAATTTTGATTATTAAATTACTTTGATGTCCTATTGAGTATTTTGGGCTTGTTTATATGTTTTGGGGTTGGGTTTGTTTTGAGAAATCAATGACAATTTTGTAATTTAAAAGAAGTTAAAAGCCTTTTTGTTATGTTATAAATGAGTTTTGTGTGTGTTTCTAAAGTCCATTTCATATGGGGTATTTTTATAATTTGGGCTCCTATATTGGGTATATTAGTGAATCTCCCATTAATTATTAGCTTGTGAGCTGAAAACTTGAAATTAACTCTCTCCAAAATGTAGAAGAGCAGATAAAGGGTTGAAATGAAGCAGGACTTGCAATCTGGATGCCCTTATTCATTGGATTGGAGGTCTTTTATTCATTGTAAATCTTCAAGCTAGAGGTCAATTTTGCAACTCTTCTGGTCAAAACCGACAGCCCTCGCATACTGTTTCAAGCTAGGTACCACAAAGATACTGTTTAAAAACATGATCACACTCAAAATCAAAGCAACGTGGTGGTAGGTGGTGGGTAGGTGGATTGAAAGTTGGATATAAATTTCAGATAGTAAACTTATGGAGCCAAAAGGGGTGAAAAATGAGGCATTGCTTTAACTTGGCTTACCCAATTAAACAAATATTTTACTTTGTTGCTTGACCCCCATCAATCCGGCTCTTAAGATAGCTCAAGGGCTGAACTTATTTGTTATGTTGCTCAGGAAATAAGTCATTGTGACATCAATCAACACAGGGACCTATTTGTCAAAATCAAATTGTAGATTTTGACTACAGTGGAAAAAAAGAATATCCAACAGGCATCAACCTTTCTGCAGTAGGGAAGAAGCATGCATGTTTGCATTTTCAGTTCAAGTATTTTGCATCCAGAAAGGATCTGCTGAATGTCAGCACCTATACAAAACTCAGAAAGGAAGAAGAATTTTTTTACATTTTCAGTAAAGTCCAGCCCAGCAGCATATCCTCCTCAATTTGGTACTGGGGACTAGACAGTATACAATGCAAAAGGCCATTGCTCAAAAAGATATATACTACTTCCATTACCATGGTTTCAAGTCTCCCACTGGCCCTGCTGTCCAATTTAAAATCTTTTGACCACCCTTCAAGTAAACACTTTGAGCATGGGGCAACTTTCGAGCCAGACCGTTTAGTATCTGATGGAAAGCATCCCCTGGTTGTGCAGGTTGCGGGAACATCATCGCCCATTTCATCGAAGGATTTGCAAGCAATCTTTGTTTCCTTAGGATTACTTCTGGTGGAATAGAAGTGAGAATTGTGTCCAGGTTAGGGACATCCTCCTCAGCTAGAAAAACTCCAATTTCTTCCCATGGGATAGCATCGGCGAAGGGTAAGACAATATCATCAGCTATAATAACAGGGATGCAACCAAACACCACTGCTTCAACTAGCCTCGGACTCCATGGGGCCCAACCCAGAGGGCATAAACAGAATATAGATCGCTGCATGTCTTCATAATATGTAGTTGGATGGTCAGTGGAGATGTCAAACAGAGGATTGTTCTTGAAATTCTCCCAAACAGCTGCCCTCGCACCTCTGTCAGTCAATTTAAAGGGTCAAGAGGGAGTTACATTTGACTCCAGAAGATCATGCATGCAGACCAGATACAGAGATAAACTTTCATCATTCATGTCCATGTTATTCCCATCTCATAAAAGAGTATACAGACAACATGTTCATAAAATTCAAAGGGGTAAAACACTTTCCTGACAAACGTACCTCGCATAGTAACCACCTTCAGGGTCATTATTAATGTCATAAAATAGACCACGGAAGTAGACGAAGATGGACCGTGGAGTCTCTTGGGGAATCAGGTGGGCCTGCATCTTTTGTGGTGGAGCATATGGAGGAATTGTGATTGAACCCTCCTTCAAGCATACATGGTTTCGTTGCCCAAAGGTCTGAACCAAGGTGGCACGCTGGAGCAGTGGAAGAATACCCCGTTCAATAGCTTTCTCTTCCTATAGAATGCCAGCAGTATAAACCTTATATTAGCCATAACCAGTACAAGTAAACTTTTCTTATTTTTGTGATTGAGCTAATTGTATAAATATTCTTCACAAAAAGTTTAATTTTTCCCTCAAATTTTGGGATGGATGAATTCATCCTCTATTTTGCAGTGTGCACCTTTACAGGAATGCTGATTCATATAAATTTCTCATGTTCAGATACAGCTTACTTTTCTTTAACCTAAGGAAATCATGCTTAGGTACAAAGTAGAAGGGTCCTACCTGGTAATGAAAGCAGGCTCCAAAGTCATGAGGCACAACAAAGAAGTGATCAGCTCCTTCCGTTCGATTCCAATAAGGCCAGTTTGTAGATATGAGCTGTATTGCACTTCTCATCATCCGCGGCGATTTGAAGGGTAATGGCAAGCCAGTGGGGGTAAGGTCACAAGTAGTGTAGATAGGGGTATAAAACCAATCTGCTTCCTCAGGATTGAATGTTCTAACCGGGCTGGATAAGAGGAACCTATGCATGAAGATCTCAGCAGCAAACATATGGTTGAGACATCTTGGGTCTTTCTGAAGGATTTTCTTGTTGTATTTGTTAGGCAGCTCATAAACATAAACTTTCAACCTTCCAGTTGGATCATCCTCCAAGACATCACCAGCGCTTCCTGCATCATTCTTCCATTAGTCAATCGGAAAAAGAGTGCATCAAATAGAATAAAATGCTACGAAATGCTTATGGATAAAAATTTACGGCTCGTCTTTCCAAGAACCAATTGGAGTCCCTCTTTTCCACTTTCCCGAGATTAATCTTTGATGTAATGTTTGTGAAAAAGGATAAAAGAACATCTACCAGTGAAACTGATATGAGATAAATAATCATAGTTTGGTTATCTCATATACAAGTTACAGTATGAATTTCATATAAAATTGAAATGCAAGCACTAATCATCTCGGAGCTGACCAAAACTAGTGCCCCCAATTTGGCCCTACAACGAAAGTCAAGAAAAGAAATTCCAAAAATTCTGAACCTCAACTATTCTGAACTGGGAATTAATGGAAACAACAAAAGGGCATTTCTTCAAACACCTGAGCCTATATGGGGCAAATGTAGCAAAAGGGAAACTGCTTTAGAAACCAATTTGAAGCGAACAATGACAGAGGCATACCTGAAATCCTCTCTGTAGGCACATTCTGATCAGCACCAACTTCCCAAGCAAACCCAAAAACAAAAAGAAGAGCAAGAACCCACATGCAAGTTCTCATTTTGACCCAACTGAAACCCACACTCAGATACCTAATTTGACTGAAAATCGAAATGGGTCTTCCGGTTTTCGTATCATTGAGGCTGTAGAGGCAGTATATATGAAGAGTATATGGTTGGGACGTCGCGCGGGTAGTAGTTGGGAAGCTTTCTTAGACTCTAGGTTTGTGGAAATGGAATAAGAAACGGAGGTTTTCAGGTGAGCATCGATAGAGAAATGCAGAGAGGAATTGCTTGAAGAAACAGTGAAGGCATTGCAATTTTCTATTTTATTTAGATTTCTTAAGAAGGATTTTGCAGCAAACAACATGTACAAATCCATGTGGTTAGTGAAAGCTGTATTTGTTTTGCCGGTTTGATGACAAGTCCATTTCACAAAGCTGAGTGTCAGATAAATAAACCACCGAGCTCTTCTATATATTAATTAATTCCCGCGCTTTCCCTTTCTCCGGTTGTTGCGTAATGGCTGTACTGCTAAATGTCACCGACGGACAACACTTGGATAATAAAATGTGTAAACATAAACTTGGATAATTATGATCAATCGACCCAACTAGTTGAATACTCATATCCCAACATGATACACTAATTCCTTGCTTATAACAAATACGAAGTAGATTTTAATTTATAATTCAAGTATGACTTCAATTCAACAATCCCTTAACAAATGAAATGTGAACTAAGTCCAACTATATAACTATGAACAAAAAGATGAGTTGTGAGATTGGGTGGATTTTGATCCGCCAAGACGAATATGGGAATCCAATTATGATCCAAAGTCCAAATTAAATTAATATTTGGATATTAACCAATGTAATCCAAATTTGTTTGTTTTGGTTACATGGAGTGCCGAAGCCCCAAAAAAAACCTACACTTGGACAAGCCTAGCAGTGGTCATCCTAACATAATCATTAGCAAAAAGGCTTACAATAGAAGGAGGGGGAACTCCACAACATTATAACCCAAATTGGAGTATGTGCTAGATGATCTGCTCTCTATAAACATGAGAAATAGTGCCGTCATTAACATCACCTTGCAGTCTTTAATGAGACAAAATAGAGGATGACTAGCAGAATCTCACCTTTAATCAAGGAAGCAGAAATAGAGTTACAATTCACTTTAATTCTTTGGATATTTTCATTCTAACCTAGGATAAAGAGAAAAATTTAGTTGCAACGGAGATAGCACTGTTTTGCTATTCTTAACCAATAATGTTATGCCACGTGAAAATGTTATCATGCATATTATAGCGTTATTGATTACGAATAGCAAAATAATTATTTTCCCATTTCATGAAAGTCTTTCTTTGGGCAAAGACCACTTTTTTTGTTGTTGGGTGAAATAGGGGGTATAAAACCCTAGAAAAGGACAAAAACAACTAAACAACATTAATCATACGGGTCTTAGTAACCCCTATTGAGCCAAAAGGGGCAAGTCCTTGCGCGATCGGCACGAGCATGCCATTGGAAGGAATGACGTCATGTGCCTGTGAGCGCGAGTCCATGCGCCTGTGAGTGCGAGTCCTTGCACGATCGGCACGGAGCATGCCGAGCGGAAGTTATGACATCATGCGCTTGTTGGCGCAAGTCCTTGCGTGATCGGCACGGAGCATGCATCTCGGAAGGTATGATGTCGTGCGCCTGTTGGCGCAAGTCCTTGTGCGATCAACATGGAGCCTGCTGATTGGAAGGTATGATGTCGTGCGCCTGTTGGCGCAAGTCCTTGCTCGATCGGCATGGAGCATGTCAATCGAAAGGTATGACGTCATGAGCCTGTGAGTGCGAGTCCTTGCGCGATCGCACGGAGCATGCCGATCGGAAGGTATGATGTCATGCGCTTGTGAGCACAAGTCCTTGTGCGATTGGCACGGAGCATGTTGATCGGAAGGTATGACGTCAAGCCCCTGTGGCACCACGTGTCACCCTAACTTTTGTTTGGATTTGAATCGGTTTCACTAGGGTGGAAATCGAGGCGTTTTGTGGGGTTTTTGGGAAATCGAGGCGTTTTTAGGGTAAGGAGTGTGTGATGGTTAGTTGCTCGAGGTGTCGGTATGGCGAGTGTCTATATAAGGGCTTTAAGGGGGAGAAGGTAGAGTACTTCAGCGCTTTGAGAAATTTTTGGAGAGAATTGAGAGACGATTTTCAGCTTAAGGGAGTAAGGTGATTTCCCGTTGATGGGTGATTTCTAACGAGAGAGGTCACGGAGGAGGCGATTTCCAGACGAGGTATACGTGGCGGTTGCGATTTCCGGCTATAGCTTTCGACGGCGATAACAAGGTATTATAGCTTTGCCACCCTCCTATTGGATTGAACGTCTTTTTGAGTTGAGTTTTTCGCATGAGCATTAGGGGCATGAGCGTAATGGTTGGGTTTGACGGGAGTGGGTTCTAAAACTTGTGGGGGATTGCCAAAGATGGTCCGTTACTAGTTGGCAGGACCACACTTGGAGTTAAAGTATTCAGCATTGGCGTGGATGGCTGCTTGCTTGATTAATTCGGCATAGGTGTTCCACGGGTTACTGTGGACCAGGTATTGGAAGTTGGATTCACGGAGGCCACTCTTGAAGGCGCCGAAGGGAGCACGATCTTTTGTCTTAGGGCAGCGGGAATACTCATGGCTGAAGCGAGCGGCATATTCCTGCAGGGGTTCGTCTTCACCTTGCCGAAGCATATATAGGTCATCTGCCGAGTACAAATGATCAATATAAATCATGAAATGGTCGAGGAAAGTCTACTTCAAGCTGTCGAAGGAGTTGATAGTGTGTGGGTTCAGCTGGTAGAACCAGTTCAAAGCAACGCCATTAAGGGTGAAGGGGAAAAAGAGGCACATGCTTTCATCACTAAGACCCTTGCATCCTAGGGCAGATTGAAAAGAATGGATGTGGGTCAGGGGGTCCTCCTTACCCGTATAATAGGCGATGCGAAGCGGCTGAACGTCTTTTTCTGGACGATAGTTAAGGATACGCTCAACGAAGGGGCCTGGGTGTGGCTTCGTCCAAAAGGGCTGATGGATGCGGTGTTGCTCATTCTCAAGACTTCGGACCTTCTCGAAGAGGAGTCGCATGGCAGGGTCGGCATGATGGAGAGCATTGCGTGCCGGAGACTTGTTGTGTTGGGTGGGTGGAGGTGGATAAGTTTCCCATTCTTCGAAGTCTTCGGAATGGTAAGGCTCCCAGTCCTCAAGGTGGTAAGGTTCCCAATCGTCCGAGTCCCAACCCCCTCCTAGGTAGGCACGCGAATGGGCTTCGGTAGGGGACCAAGGTGAGCCACCCGTGGGTCATCGAGGTCTACAAGGATGGGGATGGGCTTTGGCCGAAGCTCCAAGATACGGTCCCTGCAAGCCCTATAGATCTTGGTTGGGGCATGGGGTCGTTCCTTTGGTGGGGAGATATGGAGAAGCCGCGACTTGGTTGCCTCTGGATGAAGGTGGCCTTTGTCCTTGTCATGCCTAGACTAAATCGGGGCGTTATGACGAGAGATGACTGGTTGTTTCGGTCGGGTGTGTTCAACACCCTGGGTGAGGTCCTGCTGAATGAATTGGTGGTGGGTGTTCTCCCAATTATGCTTCAAGGCTCGGCAGTCGTGTTCCAATTCGACATTCTTGGTATGAAGGTGTTTGTAGTTCTTTGTCATTTTTGCGATGCTGGCACGAAGGCGCTCAACTTCGGCCCGGAGGTGCGCATCGACCGAAGGTTTCTTTCGAGAGGAATCCCCACGAGGGGTATGGTGTTGGGTATCAAGGCTAGCTTCACTCAGTATAGCGGAGTGTGAGGGGCAGAAGAGACGATGAGGTTGGATGGGAGATAGAGCCAGCAGAACTGGTAGAGAGGTGGGATTCGAAAGTTGATTCCCACAGACGGCGCCAAACTGTTGATGCTCTTTTTGGGAGGGTCAACTTAGGTAAAGAGTGTTAGACCTTCGGCAGAGGGATGAGATTGTGGATCTTCAGCACGGAGAGATCCTGCAGAAGGAAACAGGGAAGAAGCAGTCGTTAAGTTTCGGTCACCGATGTGGTACCTGCCTAAGGCTCTTCGATGCTTAAGTCAGCTATGTGTGGTAATTTTGACAGAATAATTGTAAAGGTGAGAAAGTAGTTACCCTTTTCACTTGGACACTATTCCCTATTTATAAGGAAGTGAAAATGAGAGGTTTGCACAAAGTTTCGATGTGGGACTTTGTGCAAACTGTTGTGGAGGTGACATATGTCTGTGGGCTAGGTTCTGTAGTTAAAAGCTTTAGGAACTACCTTCGGCAGGCAGTTGCCGCATCAGAGGGGTGTCATGGTGTCATTGATGTTATCTTTAGCAGGCTTGTGAGCCTGTTTGTGTTCCAACTCCCAGTGCCGAATGTACTTGGTTAATTATGGTACAAACACCTTCCACGTTTAGCTTTAACACACCATTCTCAGGGGGGGTGGGTGTCCAGGCCAAACTTGGATTTTACCACCTCCCAATTGATTAATAGTAGAGGTCCTGATCCACTCCTTAGTAGTAGACAAAATCAGCTCTGTAGGATTAAAAGGCAAATCATCCTTATTTTTGAAAATAAAATCATTCCTCCATTTCCAGAGATGCCAGCAGATCAAACCAAACAAAGTTTTCCAAGGGATTTGCAGGAACTTATTCTTAGAGCAAAAGTTGCTAAGCAGCTAGGGGTGTAGCTCAGCGTGGAAAAAAGGGGCATCCTGGTTGTTCCACACCCTTTTAGCTCTAGAGCAATCCCTAAGAATATGTAAGGTAGATTCCGTATGCCAATCACAAATGCAACAACCAGGCTCACTTATGAAAAGCCTACGGGCCCTGCTCATTGGACATGATTCTTCCTTGATACGCTAGCCAGAGGAAGTAAGGGCCTGTTCGGTAACGTTTTAAGAGGTTGTTTTCATTTTCAGAGAACAAAAATGAGGCAAAAACACGTTCGGTGGCCCAACAATAGAAAACACTGAGAATTTTTTTCATAAAATGAAAACAAGTTCATGTGTACTTGTAGAAAACAGAAAAAAGTTGTTTTCATTCTCGTGGAAAACGTTTTCATAAAAACAACTCACATATTATTATATCAAATTGTACTACCAGACATGTTTTCATTATTTTTGTTTTCTGAAGATGTTTTCTAATTAATCTACCAGACGTATTTTCATTTCCTGAAAATGAAAATTCGTTTCTTGTTTTTATTTTCTGAAAATATTCTTAGAAAATATTCTCCGAAAACGTTACCAGATGGGCCCTAATGAATCTTCGGGTGTAATTTGAGTTTCCAAGGACTTTCCACCAAGGGTTCAACCACTCCATCCCTAAAAAGAGCAAGTTATAAGCAGACTTAACAGAAAAAAGGCCATGAGAAGTAGTTTGCCAAATTTGACAATCCTCCAGGGTACCCCCAAAGTCAGCACGGCAACGAATAATTTTCTGCACCCACTCTTTAGGAAGAACGCTTCTCAGCCTTTCAATATCCCACCAACAATCCACAAAGAAGTAAGAGACTATAGTGTCCATACTAGAATCAGAGCCAACCCCCCACCTTTAATGAGTTCAGTCCAAAAACCACTTTAATTATCCGGATAACTTCATTCAAATGTAATACAATATTTGATACGTGTACAAGCCTAAATAGTAGCCACATTTGCGAGTTACCAGAAAAAGAAAAAATAATAATCACTCCAAAAAATGCGTTCAGTCCAAACAGAAAAATCAATCAATCGAGAATGGACCCACCTGGTGGGCCCTCCTTTTCCTTATGACAATGACATGTGTTTGGTTAGTTGGCCCAACTCCAGTCAGTGAGACCAAGCCGCGCAAATAAAGCCCAATTATAATCGAACTAGTAACGGAAACAAAAACGGACGTTTGTCAACGAACACAAAGGAAGAGTCAAGTCAATAATGGAGTTCCAAAGGAAACATCAAAAAGTCTCTATCTATAGACTTTTCGTTAACGGAAGGTCACGAGTCCGTTAAATTCCGCGGGTCGGCAGACCAGCTCATCTCAGTTTCTCAACTGCCTTCATTTATAGTCCATCTCTCTGAGTAGCCCTTTCTCCCCCTCTCTCTCTCTCTCTCTTGATATTTATTATGAATTTGGAAAGCTGGGTCTTGTCGTAGTAAGTGGGAAGAAAAGGAAAGGAGGTTGCTTGAACATAACAAGAAAGAATTTTTGGTAAAAAAAGAAGAAGAATTATGGAGTCATCCAATGGGAAAGAGAGTGTGATGAGCATGGAAGTAAATGAGGGGATCGAAGAAGCAAACTTTGAAAGCAATGAGATTGAGAGGAACAAGATGGGCATCATGAGAGCTCTTGTGGAAAGGGAAGATCCCTCCTCCAAGGTTGGAATTGGATAACTCTTCTCTCTCTCTCTCTCTCTCTCTCTCTCTCTCTCTCTCTCTCTCTCCACTTTCCTCTTTTCCTGTTTGTCACTTTACTTTTGTTGACAATTCTTTGATTAGAAATTATTCTAAATTTGGTCTCACTTTTTCCTAACAACTTGCTTTGCTTAGCCTTCATCTTCTATCTAATGATACTACTAGCTAAGATTGTTAAAGCTAAAATGGTTGTGATTTCAGATGATAATGATTAGGGTAATTGAGCATGTATGGTTAATTGGTTTGGTAGGAGATGAAGCTGGTTTCAATTGAACTGTTTTGTGCTCAAACTGCTGATGGATATTAATGTTGATATGTCAAGGAAAATTAATAAACTTGTCCTTTCTATATGTACAATCTCTTTTTATAACAAAAATTAGTGTTTAATTTAAACTTTTGCATACCCAATTTCAAGATTGGCTACATTGTTCTTATACTTGCCTAATGCTGGTATGCTTTGCAGGACGTGGATGATTTCATGATCCGGAGATTTCTGCGGGCGCGTGATCTGGATATTGAGAAGGCTTCTACCCTGTTCCTCAAGTATCTGAGTTGGAGGAAGTCATTTGTGCCAAATGGTTCCATCTCTGAGTCAGAGATTCCAAGAGAGATTGCTCATAACAAGATGTTTATGCAAGGTCTGGACAAGACGGGACGCCCCATCGTTGTTGTTTTTGGTGGGAGGCATAAGCGCACCAAACTAGAGGAGTTCAAACGTAAGTGCTGCTATTCTAATGAAACCAGAAAACTTCTTGCATTCAGTTTAAATTTTGACCGTTTCCTTTTGCAGGTTTTGTAGTCTATAGCCTTGACAAAATAAGTGCCAGGTAACTCACATGTTAGTTATGGCAGTTGATATTTGGTACTTCAGTCGGTTGAATATGATAGTTTTAAGGGGTTATCGATATTTTAGAATGTGCCCTGAATAATTGTAGCTATGTCATATGCTCTATGTTATGTTTATCTTTCAGAATGCCAGCAGGCAAGGAAAAATTTGTATCCATTGCAGATCTTGAAGGATGGGGATACGTCAATAGCGACATTCGTGGATACTTAGCAGCTCTGTCGATCTTGCAGGTTCGACTTTCCTCATTACATTCCATCAAACAAGTTTCCAAATGATTGTCTTTGATCGATTAGGAGAAACAAATGCAATTGGAATGTGTAGCTTCTCTGTTCAACTGTGGCACATTGGAATGACATTTACGTTTTAACGTCACTCAGACGAGGTAATAATGGATACTTGTCTTCTTGGACAGGATTGCTACCCAGAAAGGCTTGGCAAGTTATATCTTGTTCATGTGCCTTACATTTTCATGACGGCATGGAAGATGGTTTACCCATTTATTGACAACAAAACCAAGAAGAAGGTAAAAGTACTTCTTTACCAGGAAAAACAGGGTCATCTGCACATCTTGCTACTTTTATACCGCTAACAACTACCAAGTGATCGTTTAGTTTAACTCGATCATCTGTTTACCGTATAATCTTGCAGATAGTTTTTGTTGAGAACAAAAAACTGAGCTCCACCCTGCTCAGTGATATTGATGAGAGCCAACTCCCAGATGCATATGGAGGCAAATTGCCGTTAGTTCCTATCCAAGACTGCTAGCTTTTTGGCTCAACTCTAGGCACTTGCCGATTGATATTGGTTAAAGGCGGCTCTCAGATACACATGGATGCAAGCTCTCATTACATCCGATCCAAGATTGCTTTGCCTCTTATGTTCTCCTACTTATAGGCACAACCTGATATTTAGAGTTTACAAAACAACTATCTATATTCTTCCCCATTGGGCATGTGCCAATTGCAGGGGTCATATTTTGTTCTAATATTTGGTTCCAGCTACTTTTCTACCGCTTAGCTTGTTATCCGTATTAAATTCTTATAGTTCAATTGCCCACATCATTGGACCTTCGTCCACAAATCTGCAAGGCAAATGCAAAACGTGCCAGTTTCTGGAACATTTAATCTGGCATTGCAAGATATTGCGATGGAAGTCATCTTGCTTTTGAGTAATTTTATGGCTCCAAATAATTGCATCTTGCTTTTGAGTAATTTTATGGCTCCAAATAATTGCATCTTGCTTTTGAGTAATTTTATGGCTCCAAATAATTGCTGGGCCCGCCGTATCCGGCCAAACTATAGCCAAATTGAAGAAATTTGCACTCATTTTAGGTAGCTCATAGGTCGATAGTTTTGGGGCTTGTGTTGAGGCAACGTGTATCTTGGAAATCCATAAATTCATGATGGATCTCTAAGATAAAGTTTAATTGTGTCGCCCAAGTCAACAATGCTTTCAAAAAGCAAACCGTACACTCAAACTTCAATTATTCAATTGAATCAACTTAAGTACCATGAAACTCAACATGGTAAACAAAAATGTAATCGTATTATTCAAGACATCGGAACTCCAACCAGTACCGACTGCAGATACAAAATCCAAATATGTAAACCATGACTAGAATAAAAATTGAAGTTTGCGAACATCACATTCCTTGATGTAGAGGAAGCTATGAATTATGAGACCTCGCGTAAAAATGATGCACCTGAAAAAATAAAAACTGCCCGGCAATGCTCATCCAACCAGCAGCTTGTTCTCGCTCAAAAAACTGTAAGTGGGTACCTCTAGATTGTATGGTGCAGGTCCCTTGCGGATCCTGCCAGAAATGTCGTAGTGCGAACCATGGCATGGGCAAAACCAACCACCAAAATCACCAGCATTTGGCAAGGGGATGCATCCTAAGTGAGTGCAGACCCCAACAACAACAAGCCATTCTGGATTCTTAACCCTCTCCGCATCCTGTTGGGGGTCACGAAGGGACTGAACATCCACACTATTAGCCAACTTGATGTCGTCTTCAGTCCTACGCCTAATAAAAACAGGCTTCCCTCTCCACTTCACAGTAACAGTAGTACCAGGCTCAATGCTGGACAGATCAACCTCAAGGGAAGCAAGGGCGAGGACATCTTTGCTGGCAGACATGCTCAGTACAAACTTGAGGACCAGAAGCCGGATCAAGGAGGCATACACAAATCTGCCACCTGTCAAGATGAAATAAGCAAATGCCCGCTTGCTGGGGTCACCAGGTGGATATCTTTCATGGTTGTACTCATCATATACAATTTTTGAAGAAGGATTCTTCACAGCTGCCACAGTAGCTGGGATTTCTGAGATAAGACCAATATCATGTCCGGGAGCAAGGGCTTCAGAGGAAAATCCTGAAATGAGGAACCAACCTTTCAACAAACAAGTTCCATAGACAATTGAATCTCATGCAAATAAGTTTCAAGACTAACATGTGAAGAAACATCACATTTTCCCCTCTACACATGAGACAGGCGCATCGGCAAGGCATGTTCCAATCAAATAACTAACTAAGGGCATCTATCAAGAAACAAAGATAGCTAGAGTATAACATAACCTAACTATCAACCCCAGCCAAAAGAGTGCAAAGCATATGAAATATCTGTATAGTACAGAAACTAAACGCAAGTTAATAACTCTGAACAGAAGCTACTGCCTACATTTTTTCAAAAATTCGTCCGACCTATCTAGACATCCAGCAACTAACAATTTAAACGAACGCCACACGCAACCAGGTCTTGATATTGTGTCAGGGTATCAACTGAGCTTGTGTAGTTAACCATAATCCTTAGCGAAATGAGATTTATTATAACCAAAGAGTTAACGACAGTTTTTCCAGAATCCAGACAATGCATAAAAACAAACAAAGGATTCATAAATAGACTAATTTTTCAGTCCTTTCATTATCGCGGACTTCTTTCAATCTCAATAAATGACGCACAAATTTACTGAGAAGGATTCAAAGCACAAAATTGTTTCAGCAATAGAATACCAAAGCAAGTATCAAAATCAAATTAAAAACACATCGATCTGGAGCAAGCACAAACGCTGTGCTTTAACAAATCATAAAATCCCAGGTCGAGTGACATGTCACATACTCAATTAAAACTGTGAAATGCCCATTTCGATTTGACCAAAGATCCTACTTTGGAAATATTGGATTGAAAATGACAATGAAAATAAGCAAAAATTAGAGAAATGAAGATTACATAAGCATTATGAACCAATTTCAATTTCTGAATATAAAAAAATAGAATCGTGACCGGATGGAACAAGTAGCCCTACACAATTAAAGCAATCAATTGTAATAGAACCAAACCCTAAATAAATCTGAAGCAGAGGGTGGGGGATTAGGGCAGACCTCTGATTAGAGATGGAATATGGGAATGGAAGAAAAATTGATTGGGGGATCTGGAAGGGCCATCGGAGGAAGAGTCATCGTTGTTATTGAAAAGCGGATGAGATCCAGAAACAAAGGCTGGGGTTGTCTGCGACGACCTCCAAGCCACTGCAGAAGATGAAAGCCTTCTTCCCGCGACTCTCAGCATCTTCTTCTCTTTCTTCCTGCTATCGCTATGGCCTCAACCTCTCGACACACGAACAAAAAAGCCTACTTCTGTTTTTCTTTTATTTCTTTTTCTGTTGGTTACAGCGAACAAAGCTATATTTGACCGTAGCAAAGTCCAACTCCAATAACAAATAAAGATTGGACCAAATTTCGCAACTCCAGGTGCAGGTGCTACGACGCCGTTTCATTGACGACTATTTTATTCTGTGAAAAATAAAAAATTGGGATTAATGGTGTGGGAATATTAATAATTAGGATGAATAATATAGATTGTCTTTTAAAAATTTTAAAAAGGAATGAGATTCGAACATGAACCTCTTTGTTCGAAACCTCTTCCTGGGTTGAAATGTTCATTTTGGTCATTACGATCTCCCAATTATTTGCTGTCATGTGCCTAGGGATGAGTAATTCGAACGACAATAAAATTGTGCACCAAAATTTAGTCCAAAATGACACGGCAAACAATGCGTCAAGATTCTCCAGGCCGAGGCCGATCCACACTGATCAGCTTCCGGAGTAAATAAACGACTACAAATTTACTTGCTCAAGCACATTCAGGCTGAAGTCATACTTCTGTTATTGCACAACTTTGCATTGCAATAGTAAAAGTACAAGAAAAAGAAACAGATAGCTGCTACACACATTCAGGAAAAATGTATCTCCCAATTTAGTTGGTTGTGCTTCATCAACCTTGTAGGCTTTGTATAGTTTTAAAATTTCTGACTTAAAACTATAGTATGTGGATCTTAGTAGTGTTAAAACCACCCTAGATCTACTCATCCGCAGATGCAGAAGAATGATGGGGAAAAGTCGCCCACACATCGGCCCAACTCCTCAGTCCCTCGGTTACCTCCTTCACAACAGATGCTGCTTCCTTCACATCAACACGGATTTGATCCTTGCTGTCTCTCTCTCTAATTGTCACAGACGATGTAGTATCAACCGTGATTGCAAAAGGTACACCCAGTTCATCAGTTCGTGCATAGCGTTTCCCGATTGAGGTACCTTATCAAACAAACAATCAAACAGTCAGAAACTCAAATACTGATTGGTAATTTCAGGATAAACTTAAGCTGCAATGGGGAATTAAACCGAGATAATTCTCTCATGTACATACCTGTAATATCAATTTTATGAGATATGCCAGCAACAGTCAATGACTTGGAAATGTCTTTAGCAATATCCTCATACTTTTGATTTTGGACGAGTGGGAAAACCGTACACTTAATAGGTGCAACAATTGAGGGGAAAGCAAAAACATTTAACTGTTCATTCCCAGCTTTACTCGCCCGTGTGTAGTATGAATGCTCAAAAAGACAATATATAATCCGCCCAATACCAAAAGAAGGCTCAATTACAGAGGGCGTGAATACTCTTTGGTGTTCTTTCTTTTTCTCCTTTGAAATTTTCACCATGTTCTTCTTGATAGATACATTTTTCCCTAGAGTGCAGACATAAAAATCCACCTCCCCTTTCGACTCTAAATCAGCTTTCAATGCGAAAGCTTCCTTTTCTTTCATGGACTGAAATGCATGCAGTAATACATCAACACAAAAATATATTTATTAAAAGGGAGAAGATGATAAACCAGAAGACAATATTCTATATTCACCTCCAAAGCTTCAACTACATTCTTTTGGCTCCCTTTGAAAGCAAGGCCGATCTCTTTCTTTACCGGAGATATAACCAATACCTGAAATTATATAACAAGTCAAAAATGGTAGACTGTTCTTACAGACGAAGTCAGGAAGTCGTGTTTACTGATAACATCAATGATGTACATGATCTGCATAAAACTTTACCTCTACTTCTCTTGGTTCTGGAAACTTTTCATGAGCCACAAGTGCTTCGCCACTTTTCTCCTGTCATAAAACAAGAAACAATACTTATTAAAATATAGTTTTCAACACCAAAGCAGAATATACACTCAGCATCACTTCATGTTGTAAGTCTTCTCTCATGATGGTACAACTGTTTCATTCTTAAAAATGTAGTTCTGAAATTGACAAATAAAATCCTACTGGACCAAAACACTACCAAATGAAACCAAAAATTAATCAATATACATTTAAAATGCTACCATATCAGCATAATGATCAATGAAAAAGAAGTTTACAGTTAAGCTTTTTAAATTAAAAATATCTAACAAGTCCTTACCGAATGAGCACGCAAGTCATATGCTGATCTATCAGCTATACCAACACACTCAATCCAGCCATAGGAACTCTCAATCTCCGCATCCCAACAATCAGCAGCATAGTGAGCCATTTCATTTGCAAGATGCTGGCGAAACCTCAATCGTTTCTTGTCTACACCTAAACGAGTGAGGAAAAGATACACTCTGCCAATGAAGTAGCCCAAAGTTTCATTGTTGACTATTCCCTAAATCAAGTGAAATTGCACCATCAAACTAAGATATAGAAAAGATATATAAATATAAAACAAGGTCAAATAAAAGTTGGGCAGAACCCAACCTTAGCT